AATGATGCGTCTTCCGGAGGAGCTTCGGGTTGCCTGCCATGGTGTTGCTGCAGCGGCTCGCCACGATCTTAGGGGTGAAGGTCTGCGAATGAGAAGTTTTCAACTTCTGGAGTTCGGCAATATTGCCGATGTCTCGCGGGAGGGATGGAGAGCAATGTCTCGGGAAGCGTTTGTCGACATGGGGAAAAAGAACCTACCGTGCGCGGCATTGCTCATTGCGGCCAGGAAAAGGGCGGCATTCCTCATTGACATGCTCGCCGAAGATCTGATGCCCGCGACTGCGCAGCATATCCATACCGTGGCGGAAGCGCTTTGCTTCGAAGAGCGCCTCTTTGTACTGGGCATGGCTGATATGCTTTTTCACAACGGCCTTTTTAACACCTTTGGCTTGGCTCTCCTCCAAACCATCGGCTTTCAGGATAGAGTACATCTTGGGCCTGAGCTCTACAAACTCAGAGATAGGCGCCCGAGCGCACTCGTCCTTTATTTTCCCCAGCACATTCTTGTTGGCTGTGCTGAACAGCGGATGGTCTTTGGGATAGTTGCTGGTGTCGTACTGACCAGCGTTGAGTCTCATGTCGGCGTACACGTCCTCAGTCTGGATCTCCAGCACAAGGCTGTCGGTGTCGGTGTAGAGGAGCTCTGCTGACGACCAGTATTGCACCTTGAGATGGTTGTAGTACCAGTCGTACAACAGATGCTTCGAGAGGTCGAGAATGCTCATGCCCACGAAGACCGGCCTGTTGAGCAGCAGACTGCTTTTATTCATGTGAACGGCTGCGAGGTCTCCCGCATCGCCATAGATGAGATGCCGATTGAATGTCGGATTGGCGATAAGTTTGCGGAGTCTCTCGGTCTCGCTTAGCCGGAGCAGCTTCACATCGACACGCTTTCGGAGGTTCTCCATCATCTTGCCGAAGACGCTGTTGTTCAGCAGCTTGTAGAGGTTGACTTCAAAGTCACTCTTTGCCTTCTTCTGGAGTTCGGTGTTTTTCCGGATGTAGGGCTCCATCCAAGGGCTTTGATCGAAGCGGAGTGACCTGTGGATCTTTTTCAGGCGCATGCCAAGCCGCAGATAGAGCTGCAGATTCCGATAATGCAGGACTTATTGGGTCTTGTCGCGCAGATTGGGGACCAGCTTCTCGACCTCGTGAGACGCACCCCCAAACATCTGTTTGAGGAGATTTTGCTGGTAATCCGACATCCAAGCGTTGTAGAACTTTAGGCGTTCTGGCGCTAACGGATATGCATTGTGCTTGTCGTGCAGCTATTCTAGGTATTCCAGGTCGACTTCGAGAATTTAGCCCTACTCTGCATGTACAGGCTGGTTCAGGGTCGCTTTTGCATCCTCTTTGGCGACCCACTCGAACGCGCCTGTCGGCAGCGGGCGAGATATACTTCTTGGCGTTGTTGGGAATGCAGGTGACCTCCCCTTCAGTCTCTGCGATAGTCTGCCTTATGAGATGTCTGTCGTAGTCCCGCAGGTTGTGGAAGACAACCGGTATGATTGTCGTCTTCGGGCTGAGCCGCAACTTCAGGTTGCACTCATTGTGGGCTGCACCTCGGTACTTGCCAGTAATGTGGCAGTGGTCTCGCACGGAATCTCCTTTGAGGGGCTTGCTGCAGACGTGGCAATTTGTGGCTTTCTTGTAGCTCCCAGTCCTTTCCTGTCATGTGCATAGGCTCGGGGTTAGCCAACACCGTCTTGATCTTGCGCTCTTATTCTTGGAGCGCTTCCAAGAAATGCTTAGCCGCGTCAGGTCCTCGGTAAAGCCGCGGTGGCTGCGTTTCCCCGTCGAAACGGACGACTATGTACGAGTAGCCGCATGGCTCGTGCCTGGATGTTTGCTGGGTGCCGCTCTTTTAGGGTTAAGCGCGGGGCCCTCGATTTTGCAAACCAGACTCTCGAAGTCGGCGTAGATTATGAAGGGCGCTTTGAGCTGCTTGTGGTAGTTCTCAAAGCGGATTTTGTCGGGTTTTTTTCCGGGAGTTGGCATTCTGATGGCAACCGCGGCCTGGTTGATGCCTCGACATTCAGGATTATGCTCTTCCAGCAAATCCTGCTTGGTGAAGCCGTGAAGGCAACGCTCACAGAAGTGCTGCTGATGGTGGCCACTCTGGTTGAGAAGGCGGTCGAAGTTCTTAATCCAAGTGTAGGGGTGTTTCTTAGGATTTTTCGAAACTGAGACGAGGAAGAGATTCACAGTCTTGCGAGCTCCCTCTACTTTGCTCAGACGGCAAGGAACGACGCCACCTTCCCAACCGTACACATTGATAGCAAGGTCGTTCTGACGCTCTACTCGTTCGAGCTGGGATAACGGTGTGGGTGCGCTCGCTCCCGCAAAGTCAAGGCCCTCTTCAGTGGGATACTTTCCCGGCTGTTGCGGGTGTTTAGCTGCGGGAAATAGCGCAGCCCTTAGAGACTAGCGGAGGCAGTCGTCGTCTTTGTTTTTCACGTTGATGATCGCCTTCTTATTCTTGACCGTGGTGGGGAGAGGAAGGTATGAGCCTCCACGTAAAGGCTGATAGTGAGCAATGTCAAGCCAGAGTGTTTAACACGATCCACTATCCACCCAGATCCTTCCCTAGTGTACTTTTCTAATCTCTCCAGGATTGTTGGGAAGGCATCATGTAGGGCTTGCAGAATCTCATGCGCCTGTAGCAGCGTGATCTGCTTTGTCCGGAACACTGGTGCTTGGAGCACTTCAGTACCATTTGCTTCATCCTTCCGAAGCTTATCCTCTACAGTCAACTGCAACTTAACTCCTCGTAGAGCTAATAGCTCCTCGATGAGTTTGCGTTTGATGTGAGGCTGGACGTTTTTGAGAAAGCCATCAAATCGCGTTCGGAAGGGTGTCCCTTCAGCACCTGCATTTTCCAGGCTCTCAGTTGATAGCTGAAGGCCTTCGTTTCATCCCACTTAAGTTCCGTAGGTGGTGGGGGAGGAGCCCTTGTGGGGTGTTGTGGTTTAATTCCAGCCAGAAGTTCATCATCGGTAGGCTCGGCGGGCTTGCTCTTGTGTGGTTTGGGGATAGGCTTGCTCTTGCGCGGTTTGGGGATAGGCCTGCGCTTGCGCGGTTTGTGGATAGGCGGAGTGACATTTCTTGGCGTAGGCGTTTGAAGAGCCTCAATAGAGTCGTGCAGCGCGTCTCCGCTGATCACACCTTGCTTATATAATTATATAAGATCCTTAACAACACCTTCCATCTCAAGTGTCGCAAATTTTAGTTCTATACCCTCCGCGAGATAAATCTCTAAATCGAAATTAATTCAAAATGTCGAAGTTAATTCGGCGAGTACTCTAGCAAATTTCTTTCTTGCTTGTTTCTCCGCATAAACGGTATACTCTACGTGAGATAAATCTCTAAATCGAAATTAATTCAAAATGTCGAAGTTAATTTTAAATGTCGAAGTTAATTCGGCGAGTACTCTAGCAAATATCTTTCTTGCTTGTTTCTGTTTATAAACGAGCTAATGATGCACCCTATCCGCACCGCAGGCTTGACAAAGGATAGTTTCTGCCTGTGGTCCGACTCCACACTTACGACATGGTTGTGGAAGTCGCCCGCCTTCCCTTAACCGCCTCATATGAAGTCCACAGTATGCCCCTATGGAGCTTCGCCCACATGTGGTGAACTTTCCGGGTAAAAACCACGCACACTTATTCTTGCCCTGCCTCATGATAATGTGTCAAGACATATACTCTATGAGAGAATATTTGTCTAAATAATAGCCCCCGACGGCCGGCCGCCCTGGCGCGGGGGGTGGTCCGGCCGTCTTTGGATCCTGCCGTTGTCCTGGGGTTGACATTTGCTGTAATTATGCAAGCATACCTACGCAAGCTAGGGCTGGGGCGCTTAGATTTACGTATAATAGGTCTCAAGGTGTGAGGTGGGCCAGAAACGACGCTCTGTATACTACTAATTAAGCGATAATGATTGATGCAGCAGTACCATGTTGTGTCTCTTTTTTCTCGTTCATGAATGAAAAATCAGCCATTTATGTTGCTCCTTGTCATCAGGAATATTTTTGCAAGTTTTAATAGCTATTACATTAAACTGTTTTGCATATGTCACTATAATGAATTGTTGTTTATCATTCAGCTTACGAAAATGATTTAGTGTTATATCTATGCAATTTATTAAAAGTATGTCATTTCTGTTTCGTTTCACTTGTTAGAAGCCTAACTCAGAGCTCATAAAGTATGCAGTGAGGCCAACATTGAAGTGCAAATTGCCGAATTTTTAAAATATACTCCATGTAAGCAAGGTGGTTCCAGATTTAAGGTAGCATGTCATTATTATAGATTGCTGGGTAAAGTACATAGATGACATATTTTCTTTGTTTGATTTTCTCAACTTAGACAGGGAGAACTCAACTTATTTTACTCTGTAATCTCATAGTTAACATATTTGTATTTTCTTGTCTGTGTAAGTTGAGAAAAATACACAATAACATTATTGGCATGTGCACTTAAAGAAAGTGAGCATGTGTATTTCATTGTCCTTCAATTATAAGTAAAGCAAAATGGAATGGACACATATACATAATGCGTACTTTTAAAAACTTTCATTTTAGTGCAGGTATTAGATTTCTACAAGTTTTGAATTTTTTTAATTCAAACGGCATAATTAGATTTATTATATACAATTTGCTTAACGTGATATTAAACAATTATTGAATGAAATAGTATATGAATTAAGACTTATGAAGGCCAAGGTTTGTTCAATCTACCAATGCTGAGGCAGATAGAACACATTGATGCCTTGATAATTCTTTATATTACGTGAAAACCCAATTCAATAATTGTTTCATTATTTATATAAAAAAGCAAGTGTTGCTTAAATGTGAAAAAGGTGCCGTAACGATTAAAGTTTTGTTCACTTGTTTTGTTTCTCGTATGTATGAGATGACGTTGTAGCGCGAGATAATTTCGTATATTCGACGTACGTACGTGGTGGCATTCATATAAGTAGATTTATTCGATTGCTTTAAGTGAATAAAACTAAAAAATACTTTGATCCATATGTTTATATAAATTAAATTAAGAAGATATACATACAGCAGATGATTCAGTTTTTCATTTAAATGGCATCTCTTACAGACAAATATGTCAATGTTGTTGTAGGTGGTAAGACATATAAAAATGATATATAGACTACCATTTTCTAATAATAATATATGTTATTTTCTTGCAGGTCCAAAAAGGCAACTTATTGGAATCGGCCTAATTAGCATTTTTGTAAATATGTATATTAAAATACGCACAGCAAAATAGATGAATTAAAAGTTGATAATATGGAAATCAAACTTTAGTTCGTATCATTGGAAAGGCTGTTTTATGACTTTACAAATAATGCATCATTAATTGTATGTTAAATGGACGTCGGATAAACGTCAGGTAAACATTGTACGAACGTCTGATATATGTTGTATGAACGTCTGATATATGTTGTATGAACGTCTGATATATGTTGTATGAACGTCTGATATATGTTGTATGAACGTCGGATAAACGTTGTATGAGCGTTGTATAACCGTCGTGTTTAGGTTGAAAATACGTTACATCCCAACATTCATCCTAACGTGGCCACCACGTTCCTATGAGTATCAATATGCCCCCCCCCCGCCCCCCAATTAACGTTCTAGTTACGCTACTGACCATAGCTTTAACACACGCAGCTAGAACAAGGTAACTATTTTGGCAGTGCTCATATTTTTTTCCAAACACGTCTTGCAAACAGTGAATTGTAAGCTCGTTCACTAAAGAAAATTTATTTAAACTTGCGCCAGCCATTGCATTTACTTTGGTTACTTTAATTTAACTTTCACGCCTTTGAAATGTTTTATTTTGATTGGCTCTTAGATCACTTCTTTCTTTGATTAACCAATTAGGAGCAAATTTTTTTTTAAAAATTTGCACTGCATTTCTTATTTTTTTCCTCTGGTATTCACAATAAATTTCAATGCTCTTAATTAACCAATGAGAACTGAGAAGTTTTTTCATGTATATTATTAAAGTGAAAATCAATATAACAAATCCAATGTTGGCTTCTGAGTTTTACATGAAAATGGCGATTATAAAAAATGGATAAATGACTTTTTTATTTCAGTTTAACAATATTTAGCAACATTTTTACCTGTATGAAGAACGCTTTCAGCCAAATTATTTTTCTCGATTTTGCGAAGAGCAGCAGCAAGTTCTTCGTACCACAACTGCTCATTTTTTCGTGATTCAAACCAAAACTTTAGCATTTCAAACCCTTGCCAGATCACGTCATCATGATTTAGTTCAATTTCTTTTAGTGTCGCATCTCTGACATTCAGAAATATTGCCAAATTCTTCCATTTATCAGGAACTTTTTGGGCAATCTCTAGCAGAATTTGCTTAATTTCTGCAAAAAAATGCACATTTAAAAGCAAGTTAATAGCACTTTTTACTTTGGAAGAAAATGTTGGACATCCTACATAAACTTTATAGATATACATAGCATGAGATTTTTTAAAATACCTCAAATGTGTGTCATGTGGATTTTAGTACAACTATGGATGACAATATAATAGTGCTTTCAGTAGTGATGTGCCAAAATGCTAGAACCAAATTTGTGTGATCTACATTGGAAGTTTTATCAAAGTGCGTTTTGCTACGGTAAAATTTATTCGTAATTTTTTGCATCATTTAAACTGCATACGGTACGTAGTTATAAATTATCAGCTAACACTTATGATTGCACAACATAAAATTCGAAATAAAGCAATTTTTTTAAAGAAATTATTTATTATATGTAACGTCTTTATACAAGACATCATCAGACAGGTAACTAAAATTATCAAGTGTGCGTTTAGATTTATATATTAGAAGTGTAGTTATAAGTGTTAGATTACAGTAAGGTGTGAATAACATGATATATATGTATAGTAAAATACTATATAAAGTATGAGGGAAGATACTAGTATGGAGTGTGAAATGGACGCAAAACGTAATGGGATATTTAGAAAAGTTCGAGTGGGAAAGTAAAAATTAAAATATGTCGATCGTTTTGTTTTTCTCTCTCTCTTGCCTGTTTGCCAGTTCTGTTCTCATCTTAGCATTTGAACAATGCAAAACCGATTCAACAATCGTAATAGAATTTGCAGAGCGCCGATATTAGTACAAAACAAGAACTCTGAAGAGCAAAAATTTTCAGCGAAAGACAAATTGTCAACGTAAAGGTCGTAAATCATCCCCAGAATTTAAGGCGGATTCCAACGTCATTTCGCCTTATTATACATGGAAGTTTTCTTCATTTAAAAGTATAAAAAGTAAATAAAGACCAAGGAGCCAAGTGCAAATGATGTTAATTTTTAGTTAGCACTAATTTTGATATGCATAACGCAAAAAACTCTTCATCCGAGTGAGCAACTTCAGCAAGCTTTGTTATTCACCAATGTTTATTAAGTGTAGTGAAATACTTTTCACCCTAACGCTACCTAATTGGTTGAGAGAAAGACTCTATTTACGTTGAAGACGTGAAAACATAACAATGATTTCACCTTTCGCTGATCTGATCATATATTCAAGATAAAATAATCGATTTTTCTCTTTTATGCGCAAGTTAAACAATTGACATACATCATCAAGTTGATAAGTACTACTAGAGCAACATGATGGTTAAATATATTTTGGTTCTTCGATGGACGCTTGAAAAAATGTACAATTTTCGAACTTGGCCCATGGCCGTTTCGTTTCTGACTCATAACAAGAAAGAATTAAATTAACTTATGACTTAAAATAGAATTCTCGTTCAGTTTTCAAATTAACATCAATAACCTTTACACAATTCACGCATATAAAACATAAAGTGCAACCTAGTACATAGATGGGAAAGTTGGTAAAATAAATTGCTTCACATGGCAATGTTGTCATCCCTGTTTTTTGTGATTTTAGGGTCAAAATTATGCACCGAAATATTTCGTCCCCAAGATTTATATCTCTTGAGTTTTTACATAATGTTTAATTTTTGCATTTTTAATAATGCTTGCGAGTTAACAAAAAATATTTTAACATAAAGACGGCAAGGCGCACATGCTCTAAGATTTGACTCTATAGCTTTGATGATGTAAATAATTATTCATGTTTGCATTAAGTGCATTATAGATTTTCCAGCGAGAAAATCTCCTTAGCTCTTTAAAGAACAGGCCTTTACTCCTGTCTGTTCTCTGTAGAGTCTTTTAACTCTTCGTATTGATAATTTCATCACACAACTAAACATATTCTAATCATACTACATTAAGAAATACATGCCCCTCCAATGTTAAGCATACCAATGTGTATGAAATATACTTATTACAATTGATGGTGTGTAAATAAATGCACATAACGATGTCATATTTCATAAAAGTATTTGAATGATATAGGAAAACAAAAATGCAGAGTGTTTGCATGAAAGCACAAGTGTTACAGGGAAACTTATACTTTTCACATATTTACTACACTTGACTTGGTGTGCTATAGTGCTACAGTCGTTTAAACAATAAAATGTTTTGGAACAAGATATGAACTCCTTGCAAAATATTTGCTGTTTCCTTTTTCCATTTCTTAGAACCACTTGACTATATAAAAATTATTGTACAGCAATTTGATTTGTCAGCAACCTGTATTTAGAATTAACCCAATGGAAAACTCATCATCCATGGCAATCTCCCTATTTTATAAAAGCCACTATTTTTGCAAAGCATTCCAAAAACCTAATAGCGTTAAACAAGGTCTGCAAACCGGAGGTTGAAGAAGGATTATTAGGAAAATTACCTAGCATCCCAGGTCTCATTTATTGTCAATTTTACTATATAGTGTTTGAAAATTGAAAAACAACAACATTAAGAAATGGATTGGAAATTTAATGCTTATATAACACTGCCTGGTCATGATTGTAAAATACAGTTGAGTCGTTGTTACAGAATGTTGAGTTTTATGCCTGATTTCACATAGAAACTCAAATGCAGTAATTACTACAGTGTCGTACTCACTGGACTAAGTGCGAGATTTGAAAATGAATCTAATGGACAGTAAAAATATTTAAAATCACCAAGGCTGAGAAGTTGTGCATAGGCTGTTTGGTAGCATTTATCCAACAAAGGAATGTCTCGTTCTACAAATCTAATCCAAAGTAACACAGCCCGTAAAAAAATAAGGACAACTTTTTTCTCTATTTTCAAGGCAAATATAGAACGTTACAATATCTCAACGATAGGAAAAGATATCATTATGGAATCGTAAAGGCAAAGGCGTAACTAGAACGTTAATTAAGTTAGGGAGGGAGTATAATCATATATTAAGTTGTGCCATTCTGATTTCTATTAAAATTCAATTCCCTTTTAAAAGAAAACAGTAGGGCACAACGGAATATATGAATATGCACCCAAAATTAACGTTCTAGCTACGCCTCTTCTTAGAGGGAATCTTATAATGCATATATTTTGCTAAATGGAAAAGAATCTACGTGAAAAGACAGAAATTAAGCCAGCTTTGCCAAATGTAAAGTAATATGCGATGTTAGAAAGGTACTGACTGCGGAATTTAGTAACCCTAACGTCAGAACTCTAACAGAAACAACATACACATAAACTGGTTATGTTCCTCTTTCTTTATATAGGGGCAAAGATGCTAAACCACTTCTAAGTTTTATAGAGAACTGGTACCAAATCAGGAAAAACGTATTCACTTCTGGAAACAAAGTAAAACACACTTGGTCGGTGCGTGTATCCGCACAAGAAATTATTTGTTAATTTGGCTAAGTTTTTATTTACGTATGAAAGAATGTTACATGCAGTGCGGTGTTTTAAACTAAATGAATATATGATCTTTGCACTTTGCTGGACAATATAAGCAATTGTCTCATGAACCTGAAAAATTCAGGTGACTCAACGGGATCTTGAGTCACCTGAGTCATTCCGTTGAGTCACCTGAATTTTTCAGGTTCATGAGACAATTGCTTAAATTGTCCAGCAAAGTGCGAAGATCATCTCTTCATTTATTTTCATTTACGTGTTTACTAAATAATGCAATAATATGCTTTTTACAATAGGTTCCATACTATAACAATTTCTACAAAAAGTTATAGTTGAAGTTATAGATTTTAATTCTACTCGTCATCATGATTAGCGAAGGCATAACATGCCTTTTCATATATCTATGTAATACAACAACAATAACACCCGTGCATCTCCGTATATGGTTTGCGTTAAATATTGCATGTTGAATTTGTATTCTGTTCAAGCTACTCCTTCGTTTCTCACTCATGGCAAGAAAGAAGTATAGTCAAATTTTGCCTTAAGAAAATTTGTTCAGTTTTTAAATTAACTGCATGCAAGGAGATTAAATATTTAACACGTAAAAATAGTGCAACCTAATGCAGATATGAAAAAGTTGGTTGAACTAAATTGTTTCAATCGTAAATGTTGTCATGCCAGTGTTTATTGTCAAAATTATGAACGAAAGTATTTTTCTCCTAAGCTTCATGTCTTCTAAGTTTTTATATTGTTTTTTAATTTGTTATACGTTTGATATTGTGCGTAAAGAAAAAAATTGCCGCATAAAGAATGTAACTTAAACATGTTCTAAGCTTTGAATCTTACTTTATGCAGTAAACAACTTGGTTTAAGCTAAGAGTTTTTTGTGGAATAGGTTATCTATGTAGTCAAATTGATTATTCTCAAATTTGATTTTAAATAGTTGTGATATTAAAATTGTCAATGAAGAATACAATTTAATTAATTTTCGTTTTTTTCTTCCAAATTTTCCCCTAGAGAATTGTACAATTTTTGGAAAGGAATATAGTGAGACACCCGGATGTGCTTTAGTTTGAAGGTATTGCGTATAAAATTTGTTATAACAATGCTGGTTTTGTAAACTATTTTAATGTCACAAAAGTAACATGTGTTATTTGAAATACTACAACCTAAAAATAACACCAAAATTTGTAGCGTTTCGCGTTATCTGTGATTGCAAAATGTTTTAACCGCTTAGTTTTATAACAATGAACAAAATTTATAACCAAAAGTTAAAGAATAATTGAAGAATCAATGGAATCAACTTGATCTAGATTCCAAGTATTTTCACGATTTCTACTTTTTCTGACTACTGAAGAGTTTATCTAATAAAGAATCTAAATTTGTCTTCTAATATAATAAACATACCTTCTATTTTTTCCGTATGAACGTGTAAATTTGAAGGGGATTTAGCATCAGCAGTATCATCAGACTTTATTTCTTTGAAAAAAATATAAAAGTAGAGAAAGTGAACCATGGCGTAAAATAGAAAGTTGCTTTTTATAATAAATTTGTTTATAGGTGAAGACCGAGTTAAGTGGAGTTTATAAAGTTTACTAAATTAAATAAAAAGAAAAAACCAAGAATCAATTCTTCAATTAAATTATTAGAATTTAGCTACATGCTCTTTCCAAGAACAAAGATATATATCAATCTAGGATTTTAAAGAAATAACGAAAGTTTTTAAAATTCAAGTATTTTAATTCTGGTATTTTTCCTAAAGTATTCAAAGTAAAAACTAAAAAATGTAGAACTTTATTTGTGCCCTAATTTTTACTTAAGTTTTTTTAATTTTTCTAATTTTTACGAACAGTAATTAAAGGCAATTAGTAGAAAATTTTTTAACTCGTCGTATATAGAACAAACCAAATATATTTGTAATAAAAATAACAAGCCCCAGCGTTGTACCTACGGTAAAAAGAAAAAACAACTTTAAATAGAGTACTTGAGATTTTTTTAAAGCACACGCTTATATTAAGTAAAAAGCAGATACTTCAAAAAATTAAAATAGTTGAAACAAGAGCAAAGTCAAACAAATTGTATTTATGTATATCAGTTTAGAAAGATTTAGGAGGAAAAGGCTCTCAGTAGTTTCTAGCCCTAAATTTCAAACTACATAATAAAGCATAAGATAGAAAGAAAACAAGGAAAAGTTTACCAAAAACAAATTTTAGTTGTTCCTTAGTAGTTTAATTTAGTTTAGTTTTATCTATATGTTAAAAGAAATTTAAAATATTTTTGCTCTTAGAAATATATTGAAGTGCATTACATTGTTCTTGATTTGCATCAAACTTTAAGAAACAAATCTTTTTTATCAATTTAAAGATAGCGAACAAATGGACTATGTATAAGACAATTTAATTAAATATATGCTCAGGATGGTACAACGGCCTATAATTGGATCATTACTCAAGATAAATCCTACTAAAAAATAACATACCAATACTCTTCGATAGTACAGTAACAACAACATGATCCGAAGAAACTGATTTTTTTTGAATTGCCAGCGCTCTTTCATAAAATTCTTTTGCTTTGACATTTTCAATATAGTTTAAAGTCGTAGCTACATCAACATGTTCAGGATCTGGTGATTTTGGTCGAATATCCATCGCTTTTTCGTGAAATTCTCTTGCTTTGTCATATTCTTTAGTACGATAGTACACATTACCAAGATTGTTTAAAGTCGCAGCTACATCAATATGTTCTGGACCAAGTGAATTTTGTTGAAATTCCAACGCTTTTTCATAACACTCTTTGGCTTTGCCATATTTGTTGGTCTCATAATACACATTACCAAGAGAGTTCAAAGTCGTAGCTACATCAACATGTTCGGGATCTAGTGATTTTTGTCGAATTTCCAGCGCTTTTTCGTGAAATACTCTTGCTTTGTCATATTCTTTAGTACGATGGTACACATTACCAAGATTGTTTAAAGTTGCAGCTACATCAACATGTTCTGGACCAAGTGATTTTTGTCGAATTTCCAATGCCTTTTCATAGCACTCTTTGGCTTTGGCATGTTTGTTGATCTCATAATACACATTACCAAGAGAATACAAAGTCGTAGCTACCTCAACATCTTCAGGATCTAGTGCTTTTTGCTCAATTTCCAACGCTTTTTCGTGAAATTCAATTGCTTTTTCATATTCTTTAGTATCAAGATACAATTTACCAATGTTATCAAAAGTAAAAGCTACCATAACATCTTCAGGACCTAGTGATTTTTGGTAAATTTCCAACGCTTTTTCGAGAAATTCTCTTGCTTTGTCATATTCTTTAGTATAAAGGTACACCTTACCAAGATCATAAAAAGTCCTAGCTACATCAACATGTTCAGGATCTAGTGATTTTTGTCGAATTTCCAACGCATTTTCGAGAAATTCTTTTGATTTGTCATATTCTTCTGTATTATGGTACACAACACCAAGACTGTTTAAAGTCGCAGCTACATCAACATGTTCAGGACCTAGTGATTTTTGTTCAATTTTCAACGCTTTTTCGTGAAATTTTCTTGCTTTGTCATACTCTTTAGTATAAAGGTACACATTACCAAGATTGTTTAAAGTCGAAGCTACATCAACATGTTCTGGACCATATGATTTTTGTCGAATTTCCAACGCTTTTTCATAACACTTTTTGGCTTTGGCATATTTGTTGGTGTCATAATACACATGACCAAGAGAGTTCAAAATCGTAGCTACATCAACATGTTTAGGATCTAGTGATTTTTGTTCAATTTCCAACGCTTTTTCGAGAAATTCTTTTGCTTTTTCATATTTTTTAGTACATTGGTAAACGTTACCAAGATTATAAAAAGTCCTAGCTACATCAACATGTTCAGGACCTAGTGATTTTTGCTCAATTTCCAACGCTTTTTCGTGAAATTCAATTGCTTTTTCATATTCTTTAGTATCAAGATACAAGTTACCAATGTTATCAAAAGTAAAAGCTACCATAACATCTTCAGGACCTAGTGATTTTTGGTAAATTTGCAACGCTTTTTCGAGAAATTCTCTTGCTTTGTCATACTCTTTAGTATAAAGGTACACATTACCAAGATTGTTTAAAGTCGAAGCTACATCAACATGTTCTGGACCATATGATTTTTGTCGAATTTCCAACGCTTTTTCATGACACTCTTTGGCTTTGGCACATTTGTTGGTGTGATAATACACATGACCAAGAGAGTTCAACGTCGTAGCTACATCAACATGTTCAGGATCTAGTGATTTTTGTCGAATTTCCAACGCTTTTTCATAACACTCTTTGGCTTTGGCATATTTGTTGATATCATAATACACATTACCAAGGCAGTTTAATGTCGTAGAAACATCAACATGTTCAGGACCTAGTGATTTTTGTCGAATTTCAAGCACTTTTTCAAAACATTCATTGGCTTTGGCGTATTTCTTGGTCTTATAGTACAAATTACCAAGATTGTTGAACGTCGTAGCTACATCAAAATGTTCAGGACCTAGTGATTTTTGGTAAATTTCCAGCGATTTTTCATAACACTCTTTGGCTTTGGCATATTCGTTGGTCTCATAATAGATATTACCAAGATTGTTTAAAGTCGTAGCAACATCAACATGCTCTGGACCAAGTGATTTTTGTCGAATTTCCAGCGTTTTTTCGTGAAATTTTCTTGCTTTGTCATATTCTTTAGTATAAAGATACACATTACCAAGATTGTTTAAAGTCGTAGCTACATCAACATGTTCTGGACCAAATGATTTTTGTCGAATTTCCAACGCTTTTTCATAGCACTCTTTGGCTTTGGCATATTTTTTGGCATCACAATACACATGACCAAGATTGTTTGAAGCCGTAGCTACATCAACATGTTCAGGACCTAGTGAAGTTTTTAGAATTTCGAGACATTTCTCAAAACATTTCATAGCTTTTTCGTATTGTCCAATTTTGTAATGCTCAATGCCAAGTTCGTTTGATATCTTAGCTTCATTTTGCTTTTGTGAGTCTTTTTTGATTTTTAATAATTTGAAAATGAAACTCATTATCTTTCTGACATTACCACCACTAGAAAAAATGATCAAACCTCATGTACTTTTCATTATAAACAAATAGGAAATATATAGATTTACTTCGTTTTTATTCATGTTATTTAAATTTTTAATGTTAACCGTTTATTGCCAGCCATGACAATTCTGAAACAACTATAAACCAAATAACAGTTAACTCCCTGGTCTGATAATAGACTGGTTATATAACTTATGTAGGTATCACAAAATTAAAGCCCGATAATATGTTCGACGATGAGACAAATTAGATTCTTGCACGGACAGCTTTTAATAGTACACAAACCGCCAATATTTTAGGGCCAGAAGAAGCATTTTAATGTCAAATTGAATTGAATAACTTGTTTTACCCATGACGTATATTTTTTATTATTAAAAAAGTCGCGAAACTAAAATTTTCGAAAATCTACTTTGAAAAACATCATTCACCATCATTCCTATTTGGTCTTTTAATCTTGTACTGGTGGAAAAGAAAATGATAACCTGGTATAACTTTGTTTATTCCAACTCTGTTGTTTTGATGCAGTTAGTTTAGCATGTTTTATGTGTTACTTATACACTTTTCAGTAATGTTTAGTGTGATGTTCTAGCGTTAATAGTGAGCTTTAGAAAGTGTGTACTAATATACAGTGCGATTTAATTCAAGTACGAGTTCGAAGTTTGACCGTGTACTGGATTGTTTGATGTCGTTGTTTTTTCGTTAAAATTTTAGTCTGTTGTGAGCCGCCACCAGAATGGCCCCTTACGCGAAGAATGCCGCTATATCCTTCGCCCTCGGTGTGCTCAGCTCGCTGTGGGAAAACGTCTTTGACAGTATCTTCGGCGTGGGTATTCTTAACGGCAACATGTCTCGCCCCTCCGACGACTACCGCGAGGAATATGTGCCATCCCGCAAGCTGAATAAGGGCAGTGCAAAAAGATCGAGGGCTGGAAAGACTCGCAAGACGACGGGAACAGTTCGAAGAACACGCACAGCGCCAAGGTTGACAACAAGACGGAAGACGGGGGCGTCGAAGCGCGCAGCGCCTGGAAGAACAGCAGGAACACGACGGAAGACCACGGGGTGAGCGACGAATAGCGGTTTGGGTGAATTCAAGAGCATGCTCCTGGATGCTGCAAAGAGTACAGGCAAGAGCGCAGTGAATCGCACAAAATTGAGGGCCATTTCTAGTTTGAAATCTTCAGCCACAAGTTTGGCACCCAATGTCCTTGCTTCGGCGCCTGCGGCAGCTTCACGTTTCCATCAGCCTATCAGCAACAGCATTTCCCAGGCCTTGCGGACCGCGTCCTCGACCCCGACGAGCGCCCACATCGTCCAGTCGTACAACATTTAGAGAGGTGCATATCTTTCCGAACTAGATTTTCTGCTCTTATTTCCCACCCCCGTCAGAGCAATTTTGGCGAGAGCTTCTTCACAAAACGGCTCCTTGCTCACGTTTGTCCGAAAATTCTGTACGTCCTTTCGAACACCTCCGCTGATCAATATATTCAACTTAACACGGCCTTGAAGCCTTATTCCGTCATGCCTGAATCGATCGAGGATACGAGTATTGAACCGAAGTCATACGTCATCATCGACGACATCCGCGTCATGAATCTCAAATGCGGAACGCAGAGGGAATGCCACTATAAGTTCTTTTCGATGTATAGCCATCATCTGAAATTGAACGTCTTCTTCCTGTCCCAGAGCTTTGACAAAATAAAGGACAAGAAGGTTAACACAAACTTTCTCTATCTCTTCCGATTCACGGTTAAGTCGAACGTGAAGCGGTTTCTTAATACGTTCTTCAGGCGGCACGGGCATAAAACCGGCTCTCATCTTCAAACTGTACGAGAAATACTTGACGTGTTGCTGGTGCCTGATTCTCGCTATGGACTGCACCAATCAGCGATTCGCCTATTATTGCGACGAAAAATCTATTACGGTGGACCTTTGGTGAAAGCTTTGCTTTCTCCGTAATCGTTTTTAAGAAACGTTTTTAAGCTTGCTAGCCGCTTCCCAGCTTTGCTGTCTCGAAAATTCAGTTTAAGGATTGACGGTTGTCCGTGATCTTAACGATATCAACTTAAAAATTCCTTACCGCGAAGAACCAACGCTTGGAATTCCGTAACGTAAAAATCGTGCACAACAACTATGAAGATCCTATCAAAGTTTTAAATATAATTGTAAAATACAGTCCCATGGTTCGAGTGAAGTTTTGAGAACAGTGTTAAATTGGTTCAGTGAACCTGTGTATGAATTTCTTTTCAAATAAAGATATGATTAATTTATTAACGAAGTGGTAAAAGTTGAACAGGTTTGAAAAACGAGTTTGGTGATTGTGTCTCAAGTCTTGACACTGTAACAGTGGTACAAGAGGACTTTTAAACTTGGTAAACACATATTGCTATGAACATTTTCCATTCACTGGAATGAAAAATGATTCAGCCTTGGAAAAGTAACGATTCAAGTTGACGCAATTTCTTCAGGCAACGAAAATCAAATTTGGAAACAAAGCACACTTAAAATTCATGAGGAATATTTAGTTTAAACGTCTCCAATAAATATATTGATGATGGATATTTAGAACTAAATATCATTCTCCTTGATATTGAGGGAAATACGTCCGTAAACGTTCCTGTGATAACAGAAGATCCCGACGCAACTCTGTTATTACGTATTTAAATGCTGACTGGTGCTTAAATATTGTGTGGCAAACATCTGTTACATTACAAATATTGCTAATAACGTTAATAAAGTCAGTCTCGAACTGGAGTAATTAATTCTGTTATTTTCTCGGTACACTAAAATGAATACACTCTTATTAGGGTAAACTTGGATGTTTCTTAAAATGAACGGTCTCTTCACAAAAACGCCTCATGAATCATTACATATTTGTAAATAAAGATGACTACTGAAGATTTTGACTCTGAAGAAGACTACCGCTAAGGTTGTCGAAACGTCAGTCAACAACAACAAAAACAGTCCTTCTCAGGACTTTATTAACCTGGACGATCATCATTTACAAACATGTAACGATACTCCCGGGCTCAAACCATTTACTTTATCATAAATCATTATTGGATTCATTGAATGGTTACTTTATCGTAAGTTTGAAAAGTTGGAATGCATGTTGTAACATGAAATATTACGACGTTTGTACAAGTACGTTTTGCACTCCGAATACAGCAACCAGTATTGGCTGAATAAGCTGAGCTTCGAGCAATTGAAGAAAAAACAGGCTAAATATTTTAGGCCTAAGAACTGCGATCGTCTTATTGTACCTAAGGTAAGCCCCGAAATTTGGGGAAAATTAGACCCCACATCTAGAGGGAGTGATTTTAAATTGAGTGCCATTCAATCAGCCCCGACAAATGTCGGTCATATAGCAGCAAAAAACACCAATGAGCTGTTGGTTGCCCGCAATAACAACAGCAAACTGAATATTGATAATCTTGTTCGTATGAACGTTGATATCATAGCGATCCTGGGACATGTAAGTTTTGAATTATCTCAACGACGACGTGACGCTACACGTCCCAATCTCCATCGAGAATTTAGTACTTTATGCGCATCGCATGTTCCCATTACGAAATATTTGTATGGAGATGAATTGCAAACCCAAATTAATCAAATTCGCACAACCAACAAGTTTGGCAACGCGACAACAAGCTCTTCTTATACCACTTGGCAGCAACATTCCAAACAAGGGAAACGACAATGGCGCCCTTTTGTATCCCGTCATCAGGGTAACACTCCTTATTGGTCGAAGAGTTACCAATTCGGGAAGAAGCAATCGGACACAATGAATGATTGCAGGTAGAGAACTTTTTTTAAGAAATTTTTAAGAAATTTTTAACACTTAACAGGTAAACCAGTATTCTTTTTTTGTACCCACGCTAATAGCGTATTTGAATAAAAGCTTGGAGACCTATCAGTCTGGCAGCATATCAATTTTTTTAAGTTTATGGGAAACACTCGCCTCTGATAAGGAAATCTTAGAGACAGTGTCAGGACAAAAAATTGAATTTGAGACAATTCCGATTCAAAGAGCTTTACCCAAGCAAATACAGCTACCCGAGATTAAAATGAACGATATTGATTTAGAAATGAAAAACTTACGCGTAAAAGGCGTTTTGAAGATTTCTCACTCTGAATCAGGGAAGTTTGTATCTCCAATTTTCAATTGCCCAAAAAAGACGGTTCATTACTCTTAATCTGTAATCCTTAAACAGGTATGTTAGATATCACCATTTTAAATTGGAGTGTGTTTGGTCAGCTATTAGGTTTATAAAACCAAATTATTTCATGGCATCCATCGAGCTCAGAGATGCTTTTTATTCCGTACCTATTCACCCAGCATATCAAAAATCCCTCAAATTTTGGTGGAGAGGGCAACTATATGAATTTGCCTGTGTTTTTTTCAAATTTATGTCAAAAAGGACATATTTTGGTTGGATTTATTAATGATACTTGTCTGAAATTTGACACATATACTTCATGTTTCAGGAATATTCGAGATAACATTTGCTTAATTAGTGAAATGGGGTTTTACGTACTTCCAGATAAGTCAGTTTTAGTTCTCTCACAAGTAATTACTTTTTTGGGTTTCCGACTCAACTCAGTTCTTATGCGAATATTTGTGACGACAGAATGAGCTGAGAAGATAAACGCATATGTCATGAGCTGCTACAAGCTTCTCACAAAAAGATAAGGGATGTTTCTGAGGTTTTCGGCACTCAGCTTCGAGTCTCCCGGGCGTAATGTACGGTCAGTTGCATTATCACTGGCAGGAAGTGGATAAAAGCGATGCCCTTCAGTCAAACCGGGGAAATTTTGACAAGACAATGACCCTGTCTTCCGAGGCCATACATGATTTACGATGGTGGCAGTCATCAATATGCACGACTTACAGGCAATTTACTCACAATGAACCTAGCATATGCCTAACAGATGCGTCGTTGACAGAACGGGGCTGCTCCCTAAATGGTGTATGTGTTGGGGGTAACTAAACCATCTTGGAGGCTTCCAATCATATAAAATATTTGAAAATTCTTGCGCTATTGTTTGCCCTCGAGTCGTTTTCTTTAGAAATAAAAGGTTACCCTGTTAAGGTATTAATTGATGATACTACCGCTGTAGCTTGCATTAATCAAATGGGCATATGCCCACTCAAGGTCTATTTTCAAGTTGACATGCAATGTCTGGACCTGCTGCATTTCGTATGATAGTTGGTTGACAGCAGCGCACATTCCAGGATTACAAAATGTCACTGCGGATCGAGAATGTCGAATATCACGCAGAGAAACATAATAGCAAATGAACAAGACTCTGTTTACGTGTGCCATTAAAAAACTACACGTAACTCCGAACATTGATTTGTTTGCTTCAAGGTTGTATAATCAAGTGAAATCCTATGCTTCATGTCAACCTGACTCGTATGCTATAGCTGTCAACGCCTTTACGATATCGTGGGCCAATCATACATTTTATGCGTTCCCGCCTTTTAGTATAATTTCGCAAGTGTTACAAAAAAAAGTACAAGATAAAAGCAAATATTGATCTTAGTCCCTAACTGGCCAACACAAAGTTGGTGGCCATCTTTAATGCAGATGCAAATAGCACATCCTGTAGTTTTACCTGGAGGAAGAATGACTTTAACTCTTCCAGCTCATCCGGATCACATCCACCCTCCCAATACAAAACTGGAGCTACTACTTTGCCATTTATCGGGAAACTCCTCTCTGATAGAGGCATTTCACCAGAGGCTTCTCAAATCATCCCGCAGTCTTGGCGGACCGGTACCAAGAGGCAATATTTTACATACCTTAACAGTTGGTGACAATATTGCAACGCAAACAATATCGATCTTGTCGCGTCCTCTGCAGATGAGGGCATTAATTTTCTTACAAAATTATACCAGGAAGGTTTATCCTACAGTGGTATTAATACCGCAAGGAGCGCCTTATCTACAATCTTATTGCTACCAAGTGGCATCTCGTTTGGTACACATCCACTCGTTGCTAGGTTTGTTAAAGGTGTATTTGTTGCAAGACAATTTCTTCCTAGATATGCCATGGTCTGGGACGTTTCAGGGGTATTCAAACATCTTCGAAGTCTGTACACTCCAAAAGATCTCAATTTGAAATCATTAACACCAAATATAGTAATGCTTTTAGCTTTACTATCTGGTCAGCGATGCCAAACACTTTATGCATTGGATATTTCTCATAAGGAGAAGAAAGAAGATCGAATAGATTTTCATGTGCACCAACTGCTCAAAACATCTAAACCTGGTAAACATGCTGCTCCTTTAGAATTTCGGGTTCATCCACCAGAGCTTGGGTTATGTGTATTTAGTTACTTGTCCCATTATCTAAATGCCACTGAACCAATACGAAATGCTGCAAGACAACTCCTATTAAGCTTTTAAAAAACCTTATCAATCGGTCACTTAAGCGATCATTTCCCGATGGTTAAAATACGTGTTAAAGGATGATGGTATAAATACTAAGGTTTACAGTGCACACAGTATTAGAACTGCATCAACTTTTGCGGCAAAAACATTGAATATTTCTATGGACACTTTTATGAATGCAGCTACATGGCGTAATGAACAAACTTTTCAAATATTTTATAATAAACCAATTCATGCGAAAAACTTAGGCAATGATCTATTTTCTGCCATTTGTGTGTCATGAAATGTGAAATTTCAGCTATATAATTTTGTTATTAGTTATTGCTCATGTCCACATTGCTTTAAAATCTCACATGACTACCTAGTGACGTAGAACAGTGACGAAATAGAATTAGAAAATTAAACGAGACTTACCTGAAGTCGAAGTTTGATTGAAATTCTATGAGTTACTATTCAGGAAATAGGAATTCACCCACCCAACTACTAACTTACTTCTTTTCAAATGATGTTAAATACTAGATGACTTCCTAGTTCTTGAACAGTAACTCATAGAATTTCAATCAAACTTCGACTTCAGGTAAGTCTCGTTCAATTTTTTAATTCTATTTTAGACTTTTGTTAACATCTTCTGCTCTGCGTATGAGATGACTAATATTCCAAAAGCACTTCTTTTTCAGTACAACTTCACAGCACATTGTTGTCAAGTTAAAGACAATATGCCAAGCATTACACAGTCAATGAGTGGGGCTTCGAAATCACTTTATACATATTCAAATTCTCAGTTCCTCTAAACTGATTCTATGATTTGAAATATCTAGGAGAAAATCTTACAATAGATGGAGAAATGACTTTGCTGATGATTAGATAGAGTGTGATTTTTATGTCGCTCTCAATATATGTGAATGTGAGTGAGCTTTTAGTTTACGGGTATAGATTTCTTCAAGATTTTTATTGCCGAAATAAACATAAAACCCATAGCATCGACGACATTTCCATCAAGCAACTTCGTGAATATCTCAGGAAATACAATGCATTTTTGTTCGAAAGAAAAGAAACAACGGAAAATACAAAACAATTAAGTTCCTTCGTAAGAAATGAATTGTCTACGTTGAGTTTTAAATCGTACGCACTCACCTAGCATGAAGCAGTTTATTTAAATTATATATAATCCATATGTCGTCGTATGGATGGCTTAGACGCAAATAAGACATTGAAAAGGCTTAATGCAAAAGATCAAACAAAATATTTTCTTTTTAAAATACATAAAATTTAGTCAATATTTATCTATAGTGTGTCTACGCTATATACTAGTCATTCAGTGGTGGATTCAACTTTATATTAGAAGACTAATAAATACAACGCTTAATTTAGCCTTATTTTGTTATAACTATAAATTCATGTTATTAATAATTTCTATTCATTTTAAAATCGTCGAATCGTCCGACTCCCGGTCTGCATTTAAACTTAAAATCGTCCAATCATGTTTCCCTTTAATCATAACTCACTGCTTTAAAGGAACGCACGACAAATAATTGTTAAATGTTTATTGAGTACTATTGGTTTTGTAAAAAAATTAACGCTTGGGAATTAAAGCAAGCCACGAATATATTCAAAGTACGAAATCATTAATATTACAAATAAATGATTATCAATGACATATAGTAATTAAAACTTTATTTATTTTTTGTGTATCATACCTTGAACTGATAACGACTTCAACTATCTTGAAATAATCTCATAAAAACATCGAACGCATCCTTTAATTCCGTGTATAATAAATGTTTTTATGCAAAGGAATTTGAACCATCGTAGGAATATATTGTTATGTAAAGCGAGGGTATTACACCATATGATTTTTATTGTTGTTAATCATAACATTTTTTAAATAATATAGTGAGCATTGATTGAGCAAACATTAGATGTATATTTGAATTATAACTTTGCGATGTTTTTATTGTAGTGCATATGCTCGCTTTAATACTTTGATAATTTTCTCTAGTACTTATAATTAAATGTTATTTATAAAGAAATTGCACATAAAGAGTGTAAATGCTGATATATTTTTAGCATAATATTGAAATACCGGCTGAAAATTGCAGCACACAAACTTGTTTAATTATTCAAGAAATTTGAAAGAAACATAAACAAAACAAGAATAATTAAAATAAAAAGTTTCTGAAAGAAACTCTGAAGTCGACTTAAATAGAAGGATAACTGGTGCATATCATTGTAAAAACTCGCCATGTCAAAATCATCCATAAGATTTACTGCTCTCTGTTTTAACGTGAAAACAGTGTCCTCAGGCCCCAGCATCTGAAAGTCGCTCGTGTATGCGCTCTAAACCGTCGATATTGTCAAAAAATAGGTGTTCTGAAATGATAAAATGCTCTGCTTCAGCAATAATTGCTTTAGTGCTCTGAAAGAATAAATAAAGACTGTGTTCCGAGCCTACAGTGCCTCCTAAACCCGCTATTTTGAATTTGAGAAAAAAGCGCGTAAACCTGTAAACGAAGTGGGATCGCAAAGCATTATGCAACACGATGTAAAAAATTCGCCATACCGTATATGTAAATTTCTCAAAGACTATATAAAAAACACGACGATTGTCATGTTATAAAAAGGATTGGAACGCTCCATGAAACTTCGGAATAGGCTATAAATTTTGACGATACGATGCAAGAAGTTTCGAACTTATATGAAAAGTTTAGAATGTCCTACAGCAAGTTTCGGACATATTTTTTAGATTTGTCTCGAAGTATATAAAGTTTGCCATGTATAATTTTAGTATAGAATAGGCTATAAATTTTGACGCATAGAATAGGCTATAAATTTTGACGATACGATGCAAGAAGTTTCGAACTTATATGAAAAGTTTAGAATGTCCTACAGCAAGTTTCGGACATATTTTTTAGATTTGTCTCGAAGTATTTAAAGTTTGCCACGTATAATTTTAGTATGTTATGTAATATTGTAAGTTTAGAATAAAGTCCAATTTGGCGCCTCATAGGTATCCTTTGGCTATGAATCTCGTGAAGAACTCACAGAATTTCTACATACGCTTCAAAATCTGTTCAGGCAAACACAACAATCGTTGTTATCAAACGACCATCTTGTCTTAGAGCACTGTAAAAGTAAAATTGAGCATTGTATACCAATTGCTCCTGCGATTTAACTTTCACTAAATGATCCTCGTCCTCGAAATAATCCCTGCCTTACAGCGACGCAAAATGCACAAATACAAACGCCAAATATACTAAGCATTCAGGCTTAGTCAAATCGAAGACAACTTCCGGTCACAATTTTAACCAAATTAGCTACCTTTTGCTGTTTTTTTTCTGTGCACAACATTTTCCCTTTTTTATTTGGTGTTAGATGATTTTGAGTATATTAATGTGGCAGTAAGCTTTCAACTTAAATAATTGAATGCCGATTCTACTTTCTTATGCCATGTTTATAATGACACGTGTATTATCGAGAGAATAAGGAAAACTTTCACCAACCTTTGGGCCTTGGGGATATATCTTTTCCTATTTTCAGTTAGAGATCTGTAATGTATGAAATCCTTTACCAAAAATTAGCTTCTTGTATTCTATACTTTGTAACTGAAAGGATATATGTTTTGATAGAGAGCCCAGTAGTCCAAGCCTAAAATGGTCTTAACCTTTCTTTTGTCTATACCAGACTTGAAAAGTGTGACCACCCATCGTTTGTGACGTTAATTAAAATGTGATATTGGCTTTGTTGTTGTGACCATCAAAGAAGCTATAACCGAAAGGAACTCTGGTGAATTTGCATGAGCTATTATTTTCAGCTTTTATTCGAGGGGAAGTTTATGTTTTGATAAGTCCTTTTTCATTATGCAACTAATTTATTTATATCACCATTAGGTAACACATAAGAATTACTTTTATTTGGGGCGAAAACTACCCAACACCTATAATAAAGTCTAATTATCCTTTCGAAGATTTTGTTTGCGTTATGTAAAAATAAAAAAACATCTAAGATCTTTATATAAGGTGAATATCACAATTATTAACGCTGTACTTGAATAATTATGAAATTATGAAATGAGTACAGCTGTTTATAAATATATATAACACGAAAAAATTACATTGAAAACGTCATGAAATGAACAGAATTGTTAAAACTATCAACCATTCTATTAACATTATTTCAAATTGCACAACTCCATACAGAAGCCATGTAAATTTATACTAATATAAAACTTGTCCTCGCATGCCCTTCAAAAATCGGATCATAAAAATGGGTGTTTTTAAGAAAATGCAAAAATACAACAACCATGTTAGCCGTTGTTGAATTAGTACAAAAAAAGTTCATTGCATGCAAATACATCAATGATAAACAAGAATTTACACAAGAAGAGAAACAAGAAGAGATAAACAAGAGGGGTATACTCAATCCCCCTTCACCTTCTTTAATATACCGCCATTCTCACTTAATTCCGTCATCTAAACTTCCTACTCCCCTCACATGTAATCTAACACCTTGTAATATATGCTTGTATTTAAAACCTTATGTTATAATTTATCTCAAATAATCTGAAGATGTCTTAAGTTAAAGACGAAACGTTATTAATAAATCTTTCTTTATTTTACTATTGTGATGGCTTTTTTAAAAGTCATATGTTGGGCAATTATGTTCATATTGTAAACAAATGCTTTAATAACGTCGATAAAGACATCATCAACATACAATCCATACATACCACAACATGTTTGCAAACCTTATTGCAATTACCTTACCTTATTCCAATTGCAGTAAATCCGGATTGCTGTCCTTGGCAGCAACAGGGATGAAATTTTCCACGTTGATGTTACAAAAGATATCCACCCCGATACGTTGCGCTAAGTTCTCCTCCGTGTAAATTTTGCGAGATCGCAAAGACGATAATAATTCCTCGTAAATCGACACCAACGTTTCTACATCTTTGCTAGATAAAGCGCTGCTAACAAGATGTTGAAACAACGCCATCCTCAAATAAGGTTTAGATCTAGCTACAAAAAATTCGACTGATCGACGTACAAGTGCATGCAAGTGCATGAGGATTTTTTGTTCTGCTGGATTTCCACATAAAACCGCGCCGAATTTTGGTAAAAACGAAGATTCGATAACATGCAAAATGACGTATTTCTCGATCTTGACCAATCAGATGTTGAGTTTAAGCTTACCCATGCCTTCAACTTAGTCAAAAGTTGCAGCCAACGACGTAGTTAATTAAAGATTCACCATTCTTATTATATATAGAATATTGTAGCTTCGGCTTTCGGCTTAATATAATACTTCATGTAATTTACTTATAGAAATATCAACATATCGGAGACAAGCAATTTGTACGATAAATATAACACACTTCGATCTTATTAGATTTTTCTAACAAATTGCGATTTATTATGGGTCATTGATAAAAAATATTAAATTTTTGAAGTTGCAGATCGTGATGGATCTATGAAAAAGGAAAGTAAATTTACTATTACATTAATTTTTCATCCACGTCATGCGACGTATTTGACGTAGTCTGGATCAGCCCCTGTCTGCGCTATATACTAGTCATTTAGCAGTGGATTCAAATTTATATTAGAAGACTAATGAATACAACGTTTAATTTGGCCTTATTTTGTTATAACTATAAATTCATGTTGTGAATAAAGTTTATTGATTTTTAAATCATCGAATCGTCCTACTCCCGGTCTGCATTCAAACTTAAAATCGTCCAATCATGTTTCCCTTTAATCATAACTCACTGCTTTAAAGGAACGCACGAAAAATAATTGTTAAATGAGCAATAAATAATTGTAACATTTTTTAAATAATATAATGAACACTAATTGAGCAAAACATTAGATGTATATTTGAATTATATCTTTGACTTGTATACTTGCAAACTGGGACTTGTATAAACAATATGACTTATTGGGTGAGTGGGAGTGTTGTAAAATACACTCAAAATTCTTAACTATGTTCCAAAGCCATCATCAGAGAATATATATAATATATTAATCCTAACACGGTTTTTACTATGCACAAGAAAAACATGTGACTTGGACGAGATTTGAACTCGCACCTTCGGGATACTCATTGAGTTCTATAAGACCTGGAGGGAAAACGTCAACAAAATTACAATAAATTATTAGCTCGTGGCCGCATGGTCAAAAACATGGCGGATTTTGGTTGTCAAAGTCAGCGGAAAGATGCGGGCTCATAAAAATAAAATTTTTTTCGTCCAACCGAATTTGACAACCACAATTGCGATTATATAAAATATCAATGCCAAGCACAAAAACTTTTAGAAATTTTATCTTTAAAACATGCTGTAAACGTGTTTGGTATATGGTTGCTGAAGTAATGCCAGAAAAGGAAACATTTCATGACAACGGTGAGCAACGTAAGATTATTAACTATTTAAAGTGTTCAGTGTTTTTGTTTTTAGTCAATACTTGAAGTGTGATGGTATATATTTTAAGAATGTTTTTACTCCTAAGTTATAATTTAAGTTATGTTTATCCAGTCTTATTTGTTCTTTACTTAATCGCTTGCTAGACGAAGCAAAGCAACCAATTCTTATCGAGATATGCATATCTTAAAACTCCTTGTTTCAACTGAGTTTACCTTCAAGAAATGGAGGATTTCTTCGTGATATTTTTCTGAAAATATGAAGCAAATATTAAGAACAGAGCTGTATTGAAATCAAATGCAGTGCAGGATTATTTAATTAGCTCTTTGGTACATGTCGTTCAACAAAAAATACCTGTATTAAACAGCTAGCCCGGACAATTTGACAGATCATGGACAATCATGATGATAGTGTGTAAAGGTTTGCTTTTTGCTATAAGTTTTATTAATGCCATCTGGTGTTTCTGCAAATGAATTGTTTGTTATAGTAAACAGGTTAGTACATCAAAATCAAGATAAAAACTACGTTGTTCAATAATGTGCCAAATTATGCTCCTACCTTGAAATATTTGCACAAGAAAAGCTTATCATGACATGCATGAAACATTAAATACAGTACGGCCTCATCTGACAAAATCCATACGTTTTTCAATTCCAGGTGATTAAAAATTCACATAAGATGCATTGGTTGCAATGAAATTGAATGTGGAACAACCAAAAATTGATGACAAAGACCTTTTTATGTCTTCAAGAATTACGATATCATTTAAAAGAGTAAGAGTAGCAATCTAGTAAAAGAAACGACATCTATCTTCAACATGAGACTTTTCCAATTATGTATAGTTTCTTTGTACAAAATACTATTTTAGATAAACTTGACTTTTAAGTCATTCACTGATATTTTTATCAAAAGACGAAAACAAAAATTCAAAGGCATAATGTAAAATTCAAAAGTTTGTCAAGTTGTTTGAACCTAGAAAAAATTAGTATAGGTAACTGTAATCTGTAAGGACACAATAGAAAAATAGTGCAAGAAGGTTAGCATTCTTGAGAATTAATAAGTTCTTCTTGACACACATTACACAAGGCCATAATATTATAAATAATGACTGTACAACAACAATTATACAACATGCTAAAGATCTTCACCTACATTATAATTATTTAAACAGATTTGCCTTCATGCAACAATAAGAAAAGTGTTATGTCGGAGAAATCAATACAATTTAATTTAATCAATCGTATTTTCAATGGGAAATTAATGTAGTTCTGTTCAGTTGTAGATACATGTTTGTCAATGACAACCCAGTTTCTAATATCTTGGCGCAAAACAGAACCAGCAACATGATTATAGAATTTCTGAATTTCGTTCTTTTGCTCCTAGTTCTCCTAGCTCAAGATATTTTCTTCATAATTTCTCAGTAGATTTATCAGAATATCATAATACCTTATAAGACACTCAGAATCAATCCTACCAAAAAAAACTCAATAAATACCTACCTATAATATATTCCAGTCGACTTAAGTCGTGGGGGTAAGCTAACTTTTCTAACTCATTTTTGAACATTTTAACTAAGATTTACCCATCTATTCAGGAAAGACAGTTCCACCAAGCTGTTAACAAACAGTCAATAACACAAGCAATGCGCATGGGATTATGCATTAAAGCTAAACGACACATTAACAGTTTAAAGAATGCAGTTTGATGTTTATTTCTAATATAGCTAAAGCATTACTTGACAAAATATACGTTATTTTACAGTATATTTACCTCATTTAAATGTGTGTGTCTATTTCACAAAAACCTGAAACATTATTTTCAATATTTTATGCTTAAGGTATAGTGGTTGTTTTCGCTGGTTGTCATTAATATAAGCAGGAATAGAGATTCAGATTCGGCAGGGAGCGAATGGTAAAAAATTTTCTCAAAGTGGAAGTTTTGACAACCAATATCCGCCATTACCGCCATGTTTTTGACCGCGGGGTCTAGGCCCCTTTTCCCCTCCAGGTCTTATAGAGATCAATGGTGTCGATCCAGGTCTCATGGTGTCATTCGCAAAATAATTCTTGCGATGTGATTGGCTTGACACTTGACACCCTTTCCACGGTGTCAAAAGATAGCAAATTGCGCAATATTCCAACCGCCGACTATTCAGATATTATTTCAGACAAAATTTGAACAATAACCAACAAGAAAAACCAAGGCGTGTGGACTAAGCTTAGCTGGTCTGGCAAAGCCTGGCCTCTATGCCACACAATAAATCTTATCCAACAGGAAAAACTATGGAAAAACACACACAAAAAAGAAATTGTGGTACAGTTTGAAGAGCAATATGATTTTAAGACAATTTATTAAAATTGAAGCATGGAAAAGACAGAAATTCTTGTACAGAAGACAAATCCGGAAACTATTAAATTTGATGAAAATTTGGCCAAGGAAGTGCGTAGGTTTCCATGCTTATATGACAAAACATGCAAGTATTATAAAGACAAGTTTGTCGTGGCAAATGTGGCAGAAAAGTTGCAGAAAATCTGAATCTATGGGAAGGTAAAACAATGTAAACAAAATATAGGTGTGCTTGAGTGGCAGATTATAAAGGTGTATAGACTGCAGTCTGCTATAAAATATACAGCTTTCGATTTATCAAAATTTTTTCTATTTACGTCTACTGCAAAGTCCGAGGATCTCGTTATACTGGCAATGCTATTGCTTTGATAGAGGCATTGAAACATTACGTAAATAGCAATAAAGGCTCTGTGCCTTAGAAGCAGCAATATGTAAGAAACACTGGAATAATTTATAATTAAGAAAACAAAACTTTTTGTCAACAATTTCATTTAGACAACATGGCTTCAAAATCACATTCATACTCTAAAGTTTGAGCATTTTTTAACAAAGTTCTTCGATAGAATTTGTCAACAATTCAGTTTTTAGTTAACTTGTTGGTGTTTGCATCATTGAGCTTCCGAGAAAAGGCAGAGCCTGAGTACTATGCAAAAATTGGTTGGACGGTGTTGGGTTTTGATTCATTTGTATATTGAAAAGAACATTTTGAATCTGATGCTTTGTAATTGCCTGTTCATGTGCATTTAATTTCTTCAACTGGGAGGCAACAAGCATTCGAAATAAATCATTTTCATCTCTTTCCACGTGTTTGTTTTTGTTTTGATGCCTAATTGCTTTTGCATTGTATGAAGGAACTGTATTTCTTCTTGCTCAACATCAACTTTTGTCTTTGATAACTTTTTATGTCCAGTTGTATCAGATATATCAGAAATCTTGTCATCAAATACTTCATCTGGCTCTATTTGTTGACAGTCGTAGTCTTCATTTAGTAAGCCCGCATGCTCAATTTCATCATTGGTTAACAAACTACAATTACTTGTGGAGCTGCTGCTGGTAGTTGATACTGACAAATAAGTTTTTGTTGCTCTAGACTTTATGTATGGTACTAATAACTGTAGAAAATTATAGTCCTCCAATCAGTGTGTGAATTAACCGTGTGCAATGTGCAATTTGCACATCGTTTTAGCTAAAATGAAAACAATTGCACATCACTTTTTCAAACGATGTGCAAAAATTAGCGATTCTAACGAAAAACACTGCGATAACAAATACGGCGATAGCAAAAAATCACAATTATATTTTCATTAGGAAGAAGACCCACATACCAACAAAACTCTTAAAGTTGATAAATACTTGCTCCATCATAGTGGGTTTTACTTTTGTTCTAATGCTAAACTTTAAACTTTCCTTCGAACGAACAAAACGGAGGAGATCGTTTTACCGTTTGAGAAAGCAAAAGACGTTCTTGTCATAAGTACTTTACTTTTATTAAACAACAACGTGTTAGAAATATGTGAGCATTCTATAAAAAAAAATTCTACCAAATAAGTATATAAAAGCAACATGTTTAAAATATGTTAGTTTTATATGATGTAAATACTCAATGTTAATTTTCATAGTTAGAGTTTAATTATTTTAGCGTTCTTTGTAAATATAACATTTCTAAACGATAAATTTCTTTTTTCTGTCATTGATTTTGAACACAGAAATGTAAAGACCACTTTTATAGGTTGTGGAGCTTACGTAAAAGGGGACTTTGATTTAACGAAGGGAGAGATTCTAAAAATTCTGGTTAGGCAAAAAACACTTGTTAACACTGTTCACCAATCCTCAGGACGAGGTGGAGGTTCTTTTGTTGCTAGAAACAACAATATGAAAGATTGTTATATGCAGTGCGGTGTTTAAAATTGAATGAATGATGATATGACCTTCGCACTTTGCTGGACAATTTAAGCAATTGTCTCATAAACCTGAAAAATTCAGGTGACTCAACGGGATTGAGTCACCTGAATTTTTCCCGTTGAGTCACATGAATTTTTCAGGTTCATGAGATAATTGCTTAAATCGTCCAGCAAAGTGCGAAGATCATATCATCATTCATTTAAGGAACAACAATGTTCCACTACTGGTTGCTGGAGGAGGTGGTGGTTTAAAAAACCTGAACAAACGTCTAGAAAATTGTGATGCCAGCAATAAGACATCGGGAAAAAATAATAAATGTGTCACACCTTGTGTAAACTGGGCTGAAGGAGTAAATAGACAGGGAGCAAAGCAGGCAGACTCAGAAAATTCAGGTATAATATCAGATTTCACAATATCTGTTTGTATCATTGAATTAAAATACACGGAACGCCATCTGAAGCAAATAATTGAAGTTGAATCTTATAACAGACACGCGATATTTTACCCCCAGACACGCATGTCTAGTTTTTCGAGATTTTCTCGCGGAGTAATAATTAATTAATAAACGCTAGGGTAAAATCTTCCGTGTCTGGGGTAAAATCACGGCTTCAAAAAATTATTAAGGTTTTGTATTTCAGGAAGCGTTCCATGTATTTTAGTTCAACGGTTTGTATACTAATTTTTTTATCAATCCATTACAAACACGAGTAGTGTTTTTATTTTATGAAATCTTGACAATAAATTGACGGCAAAACAACCTGAAACTTATACTGTTACTTTCATGTTTTTTTAGGTGATGGAGGAGGTGGATTTTACAGCAATGGAAGAAGTAGTAATCTGTTTGGAGGTGAGTATGGAGATGGAGGAGAAGGAGGTTTTGTTTTCATAAATGAAAGAGCAGGAGGACGTGCCAGAGCGTACAATGATGTTGGTGGATTTTGAGGTAGTGGTGGAACATATGGTAATAGAGGAGGACCAGGTGGAGGTGGGGGCTCCTCAGGTGGAGCATCCGGGGATAATGTGAATGGAGCTTGTGGTGGTGGAGGTGGATCGTACAATGTGGGAAAAAATCAAGTAAACAAGTCAGCATTTAATGAGAAAGGAGACGGATATGTCTTTTTAACTCTTTATGTTAATTAGCACTCAATCTCTTACTCTCTACAAAAGTATATGAACTTGTCTTTGAGGTATATGAGCTTTTAAAAAGTGAAAAAAAAACTAGTTCCTAATGATTAAACTTCATGATTGAATGATTAAAAGTTTATGTTATAAAAAGATGAGCAAATCTAATGGTATATTCTTGTTAATCTGTATTGCATTTCATATAATAAACAAAGTAAGTAATCTTTCTGTAATCGTTGTTGTCAAATATTCATTTTTGATCAAAATCAAAGAATTCGGGTGAACACAAATAAAAGTTTATGGATGTAACTGTAGTAAAAAGTTACTAATGCCGTCAAGGCCACTCTAGTTGGCATTGTATTTCCTAGTGTACAGTTTTTAAAACTCAATTACCCAAGAACAAATCATTAAGAAAATAAGCGGAAAACTATGTGGCTAATGCATAAACTTCAAAGAAATCTCATCCCAGATATTCATCAAGATTTAGATCAAGAAATTAAGTACGTACGTGAAATGTCATCGAAGATAGAAAAGTAATGCGTAAGTACATCGGTAACATAGACTTTTTAAATTCTTTATAAAATACCTCAGCCAGCTTACTTATTGCTGTACTTATTATGTATAATTGTGAATGAATTGTCAATTTTAGTAAGCTGGCTCCTAAAAGATAATAGAAAATTGAAAAAAAAAACATTTCAAAAATTGTAATGCCAGCTATAAGTCATTGGAAAAAAATAACTCATCTTTCTCTTTCTGTAAAAACTTGGCTGGAAGAGTAAATAGACAAGGAGCAAAGGTGGATTATTCAGGCTATTCATGTAATATCAAGGCTTATGGCCACTTTTTTCCTGCTAACTTTTTTTATTAATCAAAGACTAACTTGAGAAATGCTTGGTCACTATGAAAGATTTTCATTGAAGTTACACTATTTGACATTGGCCAACTAAAGAAACGCTTAAGTTTATGCAGCCAAACGTTCTCCATATGTCTACGATTGCTGTTGATGAAGGCGAGAATATCCGTGGAATATACAGGTCATTCCAACAGCAGAACGTAAATGTCATCGTAAATGAGAGCAGAACGTAAATGTCATCGGTACTACTTCGTAAAACAAAAACACAAAATCACTCTTTTTTGTTTCGATCCTTTTACATCTTTAATTACGCATTCACTATTGAAGCAATCAGGAGAAAGTCTAAGCCTTAAATATAGCAGGTTTTATAAGAAGAATTTTAAAATTGTACTTAAATTTAGTTAAGTGGTTTTTATCTTCTGTTCACTCATTTATATCCTGGTAATTTTATAAACGTTGTAAGTCATTTTCTCATATAATAACAGAAAATTAATATCTTTCTACGATGCTTTAACAAATGATCACATAAAAATTTTGTTGTAGCTAATTGTATGAATCTTGTTGGCCATGCGAACACATGAACATTTTAACTAGGATAAGAGATTACAATTTAACAGTTAAAAGCTAAATCACAAGTGTTGTGATTTTTTTAAAATATTTATTGTCACTCCTCGCTCTACACAGCTCTATATAACATAGACAAGAAAGTCTACAGATTTTCTTTTCTAAATTTAATTATTCATAATATTTTTCTGTATGTAATCTAATATGTCCCATTTGGTTTTACTTGATAAGCTAATTATAATAATAATTGTATCGTACTTAAATTGTCTCTTACGACAATTAACTTAGGCCTACCCACAAAATTTTGCTCGCATGTAAAGGTTTTTTTGGATGTCGTATAAAAGTCGAATATTGCATATATTTATATGTATAATTTATTCACAAATATAATTATGAAAACTTTTGATACACGAAAAAGAAGGAAATTTATAGATTTTTCTTTAATTAGAATCAACCGTGTAAATCAAATGGCACTTCATTTTCTATTTGAAGATTATTTAAATTTTTACTGTCATTTTGATAGTAAGCTGTACATTTAAATTATAAATTTTTATTTTGCCTTCAAAATAATAAAGTTTTTACTTAAATTTTTCAGATTTTCTACTTATATTAGTAACAAATAAACTCTTGAAAGCAACGTTTTGCATTTTTTTTGTCGTATAAATATGAAGATTGAACGATTTTTTTAAGTCCTTACTGAAAGCGGACTGCTAGATTAGACAAAAATTGGACAAGAAATGTATTATTAGTTATAGTTATCTCACCAAACAACAGCATAATTGAGGCACACATAATGGCATGCCGTTTTAAACCTATTTTCGTACTTAAGTTCTATAAAATCTTCAGCAATGAGCAATAATCACAAAACGAGATGAAACGGAAAAAACGGAGACTGACCTCTCACGAAAGCAAAACAAAAGCGTTCACATTAAGATAATAAAAAAATTACTAGTGCAATTGCTACAAAATATGTATATTTCCACATACTTACAATTATATAGATTTCTGCCTCATTTTGATCATTCAACACCACGAACTATAACAAAGATGACAAATTTTAATTTTGGCTTTTCCCTCCTACTTGTAGTTATCTATGGATCTATTCAAATGAAAGTTTCGTGTGCTGGGTTATGTTGATTGAATATAATAAGTTTTTGCTTGTATTTTTATCTCTTTTTAGCTGTTCATTTAATCCGATCTTGACACTTGACACTCACCTTTCTCATATATATTATATTCCTCGCAAAATCTATGCATTTTTTTACACGGCATTTTTCTTTTTTTCTAGAAAGACACTATCATCTTTGGTAACTGTCTCCACTAAAATCCTTTTTTTTATCATTACATAGAGTGGCGTAACCACCCTGCAAGTTTTGGTCCTGCTATGTAAATTTTAGATCATTAACATTATTCATTTCTTTAGAAATCTATTGTTTTTACAGTGAGTGATTACAGAAAAATTAACATAGCAGGACAAAATTTGCAGGCTGACTACGTCATTGATTACATATGCACACATTGCTGCGCATCGTTTTTTAACTTTTAACCAGTCCTTATGAATTTTGCTTCGATTTGCATGTTCTAATTACTGTTTCTGTCTTTCTATGACTCCAAGTGCTCACTTGACCATTCGCAGCTCGGCTACTTCCAGTCGACACTTTCTCAGCAGCTACTGTTATAGTTTTCATGCGATTAGATTATCGCCGGTCTGACAACACTCTTATAAATCTCTTCCTTTAATTTAGCCGATAGTTTCTTATTTCACAGCACACACTTAAAAGAGCTGCACACAGCTATAGGTCCATTCTCTACAAAAATTTTACGATAAACGGTGTTTCAACCATTCTCCTCCCAGTTCCATAGCTCCCAAAGATCTCATTTCTTCTGTTGATTTTTCCAACATGCCATTTCAAATCAGCTTATATCACAATTCTTTCCACCTTAAGTATCTTTTTATATGTATCATCCTGTCAGAATCTTTTTTTCTTTTTGCCACTCATTTATTCAGCTGTACATACACTCTATTTGTGTCAACCACTATTCAACTTTTTTCAATCCTTAGACATAACAAACTATCTGTTATACTTCATATTTCCCAACTACGTCTAGTAAAGGATTTTTGTACCCATGCTTGTCGTTCTTTTTTTAGCATTATTGTGCCACAATTTTTTAGCTTTACCCTAAGTATCTTGTTTTTGCTTCCTTAAATCTTTTTTCCTTAAAACAAGAAACCTTAATCTGACTTTTCTCCATCATGTATAACACTTCCCTTTTTTTCCAACATATTACCAATTATGCGTTCACTTCGAAGATTTGTTTTTCACTTCTCTTTTCAACTTTCTGTTGTTTTTTTTCCTTTTGCATTTTACTTCTTCTTCTTCTCCTAATTTTTAAATTAGCATGTCCACCAGCAATTTATATGTTGAAGGCAATGATAACGGACATTGTTATCCAGCGATCCTATTGGGTCAGGAAGTTTGACTTTTTGTAGCTACGAAAAATTTCTTTGCTGTCGCAATTTATTTCAATTGCGTTCAATGACACGCAAATTGTTATAATTACTTATCCACCAGGCAATTGTTGTTTCTCATATGACATAAACTCCAAGACAGTCGTTCAAGAGCCATTTGCATCAGAACAAATTCTATTCAAACTTGAATAATTAAAGATATCTATTCAAGTTAAATTAGCAGTTTGAAAAATGATATTTTTATCACCAGGAGTCATTCTTTGTGCTGTGATAAAATCAAAAGTTTGGCTGATTCAAAAATGGATGCTTATCAAGTACTGTGTAAGAAAAATACGTCACTTCCTCCTGATTGCTGTGATGACATCAAAACAGAAGTTAAATCATATGAAAGTTCGTATGCATCATTATGCTTAAACAGAACTGACGGTACGTAGACAGAAAAATATTTCTGCTTATTTATACTTGTAATTAATTTGAAGATAGGTTGTGCTTCAATATTTAGCATTTGATTGATTACTTCCTGTCAAATCTAGCTTGCGCTTCACATAAAATATATTTGTATTCATTGATTAAAGTGCATATAAACCTTACAGGATTTTAGTATTGTTTGAAGGAACAACTAGTGAAATTAACAAATTCAAAAAAGTATATTGTTTTACATTAAACCTACCTTAAGAAATTACTGTTAAAAATCCAAATTTACCATATATATTTTTCACTAAGGGGTCTGGTATTAAGTTGATTTCGTGACGTCATGTAAGGAACACAGTTTGCACGGCTCTATTTAATTCAAGACAAACTGTCAGCTGTAAATTATCCATAGAGTCCTTTTTTTAAAAATTGGCTTTATTTAGGTCGGCATTTTTATCGTTGGATTCATCAAAAAATGAAATTTTTGACGTAGACTTTGACAGTAGTTTCAGCAGCAACACTAGGCTCGAGTGAAAAAACACATGTGGCATAATATTTACTTTTTATATAGGAAGCTAGGACGGGATGTTTCTAAGACGGGTTCTGTACATCCAGCATTTATACGAGTTTTTACAACGAGACAAAAAGTAATTGAGATAAGAAAACCATCATATCGCATTTCTTCAGCCTTGATTTGCCAAAGCCTTTGTCTAAAGACTAGCCGGTGCGAGACAAAAAAACATCCCAGCTCCATACAGAAAAAGGACAATTACATATAGAAAATGTATAAAACCGAGGTCTCATTCATCTCCCGTTTTGGGAGTCAATCCATCCCGGCTCTCATATAAACAAGTGCTTTTTGTGCCTCATATACGTAAGAGAAGATTGGGCCAGCAATGACTGGGAACAAAGACTCTACACAAGCTTGCTTCTCTTGCAAATTAATATATACCGCCTAGTCAAGTTCTTGGGCTTAAATGTAAAATGCAAATACTATACAGAGCTGATATTGGACATTTTACTCGCTTTAGCGCAACAAAGTCGAGCCACTTATTTCAACAGAATTGGCTTATTAAAAGGAATGAGGGAAGGATTTTGCCTTATGGGCAGAAAATGTTAAGCCTGCCGGTTATAGTCGACTAAGTTGGCCTTATATGAAAACATCTTGCTATACTTTTCACATATCTCTAACGACAGTTCAGACCTGTGTTACTTACATGACGTCAGCTGTATTCGCAGGCCCAGTCCCATAGCGGTAAAACCGAGCAAACTATTTGTCTGATTACGGAAAAATTTTGGAATATGGCCTTTAATAACACGTATATTGAATAGTGTAAAAACACGTAAGGTTTATATGCAATTTAGATTATTCAATTCAATAGTTGTATTGTAATATAGTTGAGTTCCGTCAATTCAGTGCAAATTTTACAAATCTTGGAGCCACTGGTCGCCACGGTCCAACATCAATTGGTCAATTTTACAATGGTCAGGATCATGTAAATATGGTAAACGTATCAAAAGGTATCCAGTATTGGACAGTGCCTTACACTGGAACTTATGAAGTTACTGCTGTCGGTGCACAAGGCGGTTACGACAAACTTGGCTCTACATACAGAGGTAAAGTTTTTAAAGTTTTCTATTATTGTACTTTGCTATCACTTAATTAGAAACTCATTTTTTTAAGACAATATTATTACACTAAAAGTTACTATCGTAAGGGAAAGTGCTGCTCGGGCTTCCCCTTTCACCCATGGGACGAGTGCTTATAAGAAATGAAGTCCAGCGCACGAAAAGCGGACGGCAAGCTCGAGCGAGCATAAGTATATCCGCTTCCCATGTTTTACTTGCGACGATTATAGAAACATCCTCAAAAAATTTAACATTAAATTCATTGCTATTATGAATGAAAATCGTTTTTATTAGATTATACTACATCTTCATTTTTCGTTCTAAGGCTTTGTGAAGAGTAACAATGTCGTTCACAAATAAATGGAGCAAAGTTTACGCCGTATATGAAAAGAGTAAACAATGTTTACAAGATAATATACAACTGACTGAATCTTTAATTTTGGGCCAACAGGCCGTGTAGTTTTGTTAGTATTTTCTTATCATGGTCGGACTATATTGCTCATTGTTATATACTTAATTTGTGAACGGAGAGGCTTCACACGTGGCAAGTATTTTTTGACCATCCCATTACACATACGTACATAATTTAAAACAAAAATCATTTAACATGCTGAAACAGTTATACTACATGAAACATTGACTCGAAAACTATAAGGTCACTATTGAGAGTTTTTACATATTTATTGTCTACTTGTAACAACACATTAGCTAAATGTATTTTTGCCCACCATGCTGTTAATGAAATATTTGTGTCGATAATAGTGTACTTTTGCCACCATATGTGATTCCATTCTTGTCGTAAAAAGCGTCGATAATAACATGAAAGCACATTGCTTTTTTATCCGAGTGGATCACCTTGGTGCAAATCAGCAGCTGTTAATGAAGCCATACTACTGCTGGTATCAAGTATTCTAGGAAACTTTGCTTTCTGTTCGTTCGACGAATCAAAACTACAAAAGACTTAAATCTTAAAATGTTCTTTAATGTTTATCAATCGAAAAAACATACGTGCTCTACTTAATATTTTTATCATCCACTCCCCCACAATCAAAAAATGTTCTAAATTGTGACGTCGTGCCCTAAAAAATCTTGCCGGACAGACGCCAAATCCGAGTGTTGAAAAGTACATAGGTTGCGTGAAAAGACTGGGTCGAGTGAATTAGGAGTTATGAATAGTGTGTTGCCTCGTTCATGCTCGGCAGCAATTAACATGGCGATGAAATTTTCAAATTTTATAACTTTTACAGCTGTATATTTAGCAAATGGTCAAAACTGCGCTAATTTTTCTTTCAAATAGCAAAATTCACACACCTATAAGAAACTAAATGCATTTAACATCGCTTACTTTGTTTTTTTTGTATCTAGAACATACAATCGTCAAATTTTATCAAACTTTCGCAAGTGATTGTTTTTATAATGTATAAAAAATGTGACTGAACATAAACTGTTATTGTGTTCGTATAATAAATATTCAAGTACTTAAATTTATATAAGGGGAAGGCAATTAAAAATATGATTTGTTTTACATAAGCCAGAGTGTTTAGTCTGTTATTTGGGACTAAAGAAACCCTTTCTTTTGCGCAGGCGTCATTGATAATGACAGTGGAACACTTTACGATAAAAATTGTTACGTGACGTAACAATTTATTACTAAAAATTTTGAACTAATTATTCGGAAAATCGAATGCAGTGTTTTCATGAGTCGCCAATTTGGTTTGAAAATTGCATATAGTGAAACAAAATTTCTTCTAATTTCATGTACTGTTAAGCATCGGCACTTTGATGTACTCCTCAAACTTGGGCGATTGACGTCACATGCAAACACTCCATAAAATTACCAAGCCTAGATTGTGTAATCAATTTCGTTAAATTTTGCTAAAATGTCAAAATATGCTCAAAATGTTCCCAAAAATTTAAAAACTTGCTCACAATAAATTTTCTATTGTATTCTTATTACTATAAACAACTATGAACTTTTCTTTAAAAAAACACCAGCTGATTGGTCGAATGCTTGAAAAAAGTGTTTCTTAGAATTTTTGCGCGTGACGTCAAAGCGGTCATGTTGGGGCATTGAAGTAAATACGTGCAACGCTACCTGAAATAATTGAAGCCCTGACTTTACCCCAGACACGCGCGTGCAATGTTTCGAAATTCTCACGGAGTAAAAATTGATTGATTGAACACGCAACTCGAAGAGAAAATAAACAATAAAATCGAAAAAGACATTTTTTTGTTTGTCGTTGCTTGTTTGTATTGACATTTGATCAATTTGACCAACTAATTCAGTTGCTTCCTTCTTTGCTCATTTTAGTTTAATGTGTTGGGGAGAGAACATCAAAGTGCCGATGCTCAAAATAACATTAAATCAACATAAATTCTTTTCATTATAAGCGATTTTCCCCCAACATAGCGACTGATGAAAACACTCTATAGCTTTATAATGCGCGGAAACGTCTCTAAAAAATCTAACAGACTGCATGGTTTGCGCAAGAAATTTGACTGGTGAAAACATAAACAAAACGTGCTTTAAGTGATGAATTTAATGATGAATTTTTCTTTTAATACATTTTGAAAAGCCTATTTTGTAAAGAAAATACAAACAAGGATTATATATTTTCATTCCAATATTTTTCCTGTGAAACAAAGTACCTGTGTTTCCGTTTCAGAAGCTTGTGCTTTTATGCGAGGCCATGCAGTTCCAATTAAAAGAATTATTTCCTATGCAAAAGCAATAATTTTGATTTGCTTAAACTTATAATAGAATAATCTATCGTTTTTAGGTCGTGGAGCTTACATGAAAGGAGACTTTGAAATAAACAAAGGAGAAATTATTAAAATTCTGGTTGGGCAAACGGCACCCGTCAATACTCGTGCCTATTCATCAGGAGGTGGAGGTGGTTCTTTTGTTGCTAGGAACAACAATGTTCTACTACTGGTTGCTGGAGGTGGTGGTGGTTTAGAACACCTGAACAAACGTTTAGATAACTGTGATGCGAGCACTAAAACATCTGGAAAAAATAACAAATGTGTCAGTCCTTGTGCAAACTGGGCTGGAGGAGTAAATGGGCAAGGAGCAAAGCAGGCTGATTCAGGAAATTCAGGTTGTAGCAGATTTTGAATTTACGGTACTTAGGCTCACATTTTTAATAATATGAAATCATTACGAGGAAAACTTTGTTGTTAAGGGATACTGAAATTACTATGTATGAGCTCTAACCATTACACCAAGATTTATTATTATCGATTACAAACTTTCTCATATAAATCATACTAGCCCTGTGATGCATTTTTTGTTTGCAATCAAATCAGAAGTAAAACAATATAAAATTTATAAATAATTCTTATGATGTTTACTAGGTGGTGGTGGAGGTGGATTTTACAGCAATGGAAGAAGTAGTAAACAGTTTGGTGGAAAGTATGGAAATGGAGGAGAAGGAGGTTTTGCTTTTATAAATGGAGGAGCAGGAGGACGTGCCAGAACTAACAATGCCGTTGGTGGATTTGGAGGTGGTGGTGGGGCATATGGTAATGGTGGGGGAGCAGGTGGTGGAGGTGGTTACTCAGGAGGAGCATCTGGGGATAATGTCTACGGATCTTGTGGTGGTGGTGGTGGATCTTATAATGCAGGAAAAAATCAAGTGAACAAGTCAGCATTTAATGACAAAGGACACGGATATGTCATTATCGCTCGAAAGGGGTAGATTAAATCATCTTAAAGTTGTGTATTTTTTGGTAAAAACACTTTAGTATTTTGTTGTATAGTTTAGAACTGTTCAAGACAATATTTTTCAAAATAATAGTTTGCCTATCTCTTAAGACACAAATTGTGGTAGTCAACGTGAATCAGCGCGACATTTTCCTATATCTATAAATACGAGTAAACTTTTTGTGTATTGACAACATTGTTGTCAAATTACAATTTTTATGTAATAGGACTTCATAGTTGCATCCGGGGTAAGTTTTTTTTCCTGCAATGCCAGACTCTAAATTTTGATTGTGCACCTACTCTTTAAATAAATATTTTCAAACCTTAGCTGGTTATAAAAATCAAGCCTGTTTTGCAGTTTGCATTTTGGATAATGTCAATGAGGAATTTTATGATATTTTCTGAGTCATTCAATACCTTATAACTTGATACCATGAGAAGTGAACTTCAAAATGCTATTTATTGCTCTAAATCTACCCAATTTATACTATCTAAAACATAATTTATTTATACTAGAAATATAAAAAAAAATTTTAGGTATTTTGAATATTTTGCTATTTCAACATGGTATATGTACAATTGACAAAATGGTACAGGTACTGTATTAAGCAGTCCATTTGCGTTAAGCCGTCTCCTGCTATTGCTTCAGAAAATTTCATAATACAATTATCGTAAGAGAAACCTTTATATATTGAAGGGTTAAATTAATTACAGCACGTTCATGCAGTTAGCCTGAGTTAGGTCAGTTGTATAGAAAATTAGTTAGTGCTAGGTGTAGTTAAAAGGTAGTTAAAGTTAGCTAGTTAGCATCGCTAACTTTACAAACACAGTTAAATATGGCGGCGTTGCTTACGAAAGATATTTGTGGACAAGATGTTGTTGATTAACAAGGTTTTTCATATGGTTTTTTTTTTGCATCTTCCGTGGCAAAGGCTTTTTAGAATAAGAGCTTTGAGGGCGGTATACATTTTCTTTGCTGTAAACATCCCAAGTACTTTTAAGCTCATAATTCCATTGCCAACAACTTGTTAGGAATTTAATTATTATGAGCTCTTATTATATATATATCTTATATATCTTTCTTGTTTTCCCACAACTTTCCGCATCTTCCAAAATCTTCTGCGTATGAGGTGAGTGACATTCCAAAATAACATTTTTTTCTATATAATTTCATAGTACCCGATCATCAAGTTACTAGCAATAAAAATGTCGGATTTAACGATTGCGCAAAGAAAATATGCCAAGCATTACACCCGCTAGTTACCCTTCTATGTATTTCTTTTATATCGCCCATATTCTAAAAGCCCCCACACGCTTAATGAATGGGTCTTCAAAATCACTTCGTAATTATTCGAAGACCGCAATTTCACTTCACTGATTGCTTGATTTTAAATGTTTAGGAGAAAATCTTACCATAGATGGAGAAATGTCTTTGCTGATTATTAGATAGAGTGAGCGATAGATATTAATCACTGTGAGCGTGCGCGGGCTTTTAGAATACGGACATATGACTTCTTCAAGAATTTTTGTTGCCGAAATATAGTATTAATCCCAAAGCATCGACGACATTTCTTATTTAGCACAGGAAATATGTTACACTTCTGTCCGAAAGAAAAGGAAAAACGGATTGTACAAAACAATGAGTTCCTTCGTAAGAAAGAAATCATTTACGCTGAGTTATAAATCCTACGCACTCACCTACCACGAAATAGTTTATATAATCAAATATCAAGTTTACACAATCTAATATATACATCCATCTTCAGAACTTATAGTTTAAATTCTCTCCTTTAAATTCAACAAATTCATTAAGAGGAAATCTATTTGATAGAATTCTATAATTAGTGACAAACACTGCGCTTATGTACAAGGAACTATCGTCAATTATTGGTGTTAAGATTAATATAAACTCAAATCTATCCTTAATTGATGAAGATTATAAAAAATAACATATTAAAAAATACTTAAATAACCCATGATTTTAAAGCTGAGCGTATGTGTTTGCGCTTAGATTGAAAAATAGATTGACAAAGGCTTTATTTGCATAAACAACATGCAATATATATTTCAAATATATATATACCCCTATATGTTTCAAATGCTTTTCAGCTTTGCCGTTTTCGTGTGCAAGATATTTTAAATTGTACTTTTAATTTAGCATGGGAGTGAAATCACAATGACAGTGTCTATAATTGGATGCATATGAGTTTGGATTCACTTTTTTTGTTGATGTTGGCGTATGCTAAATTTGACTTTTGAGACAACCCGCCTTCCTCCTGTTTCGCTGTTTTTCATTATTTTTGAAGTTTTATGAATGACCTGCTTCAACACAACAAAAATGCCTTACATTTTTTTCAACCGTTAAGTATCCTAGCAACTTTAAGTGTTTCCTTTATGTCTACAACCATTTACGTCATCCCAATAGGCGTCCTAGAAATCCGTTTGAGTTTTTCATACAATCGATTTATGTATTGAACACCAATTCTTATTCATGTGCAATATGTTTGTTTAACTTCAATTTTTTATCGTCTTAGCAGTCTTATATTTTGACAAGGTAGGAAAATTTCAACACAAAATTACCGACTGTTAATTCAAACATTTTCAGAAAACCGTAAATATTCCACAGATAAATGACAAAACATAGAAAACAACTGCGGCACAATAAAAAAGTTTGTTTTTACTATATTTTTGCTGTATTTTCAACATTAAAATTTGTTTCTGTTGTAAGAAAAACATCAATGTTTTTAGGGCTTGTAGCAAAAATTTTTTAAAACGTATATAATTTATGGCCACTCACCTTGTCATTCGTCGTGTTTTTGAATGTTCAAAGGCATTCTAGATTGGCAGCATTTAATTCAAAGACTGTACTAGCCATGCAGTCTGAATACATGCGTAAACAAACATACGTGCATGAAGTTAAACTAAATTGCGCGAGTGACAAGCATTGCACATGAATCAAAGAAAGTAATTAATATTTACGCAAATCGATTGCACATAAAAAAGGTTTCAAGGCTACCTGTGGCACTCCTGTTTGTTGATCTTTTATTGATCTTGCGACACGCAATACGACATATACCTGAGCCCAGAGTCTTAACTAGAAAGTTAAATGGGGAGGTGAATATGCATATATTCTGTTGTGTCCTGCTGACTTCTTTTGAAAGTGAATTGAATTTTAAAAGAAATCAGTAGGGTACGACAGACCCTAGACTCTGAGCTCATCTATGGCAAATTCAATTCCATTGTTGAATGTTTCAATGAAACTTAAGAGGGCCAAAAAAAGTCAGCCTATAATGAAATTTACAAGAATGATCGACAGGGTATTGGACATTCTTAATAACAGATCTCATTTGGCAAAGGGATACAAGCAACTTCTGAGAAGAAAATCTGAGGACACATGGGTGTCATGCAAAGAGAACCTAAAATCAAGAATGGACATGACATAAACTCAAGCAAAAACCTATGCAGTAAAATAATCATGGAAGTCTGTCATCATTACCGACAAATCAAGTCATTTAAACATCTTTGATGATCATACTCTTGGGTTGACCAATGACCATGATGAAAACCACAAGATGAAATCGATTGCGTATACTGCCGAGTACTTCACCCTTCAAGTACAGCAAGCGTCTTAATGAAACCGTTATAGTCATAATGGACAACGAAGTTACAGATTCCAGTTAACTAAATTGATTTTGTTTACAAACCAACCAAATTTTATGAACTATTAATAAATGTTATCTATCGACCGTGAGCTGTACAGTGTGTAAACTGTTTCCGTCAGTGGTATCATCTCAAAAAGAGTGAGGGAAAGACTTCTTCGAGAACCGGAATTGAAACTCACTCGGACGATTGAAATCTGTCAAGCGGATGATTTATCGTTACAACAATTAAAAATGTTTAAAAAACAACAAAGAAATAGATTCTATCAACAGGCCTCGTCATCCACGGTGAGAAAACATCTCCATAAGACAGCACGTTGATAAAAGGCAAAAGGAAAAGTGTGATGAATATAACATAGAAAATAAATGCATGCATTGTGGAAACAAACATCCTAAACAAAAATGTCCAGCGTTTGGTCGGCAATGTGATAAATGCAAGAAATTCAATCATTACGCCAAGATGAGTCGCTCAAGTGGAAAATTAAACTCAATTGAGACAAAGGGATCTAATAATGGATCTAATCAAGAAGAGGTAAGCAACGATTTCCTATTCCTCGATACAATACAAGCTGTCATAAACGAAACAAAAATCAATCACAATCAAGCAGAATATGCAACACTGTGCGTGTACAATACTGAAGTCAAGCTAAAAGTAGATCCTGCTGACGAAGTGAGCGTCATTCCAGTTAAAACAAATAAATCGTTAGACAGCACTACAAGAATACCGTTAAAAAGCCAGCAGTTAATCTCATCGCATACAACGACAAGCTTGTTCCAGTTAAAGCAGTATGTACTCTGTATTGCAAATACCGAGAAGAAGAGTACGATTTGGAATTCTTTATATCAGATACACTCAGTATAGCAGCTTGCAATGAATTAAACCTCGTCAAATTTACTCAAGGACAAAATCACAAGTATCCGATGAGAGCGCGTCAAAGTCAACACAACATGCTTCTATAGATGAATATTCAGAACAAATTCGAACCAAATATGAAGATGTATTTATAGGTCTTGGCTGTCTCTCAAAACTATATCACATGCAATTTTACGCATCTGTATTGATCCTAAGGACGTGAATAAAGCTTTGAAAAGAGAACATTATCAGCTTCCGACTATCGAAGAAATCACTGCTCGAATGCCAGGTGCATGCTTCTTCTCGACGTTAGATGCAAGATCGGCATATTGGCAAATACCTTTGGACGAAGAAAGCTTCAAGCTCACGACTTTCAATACACCGTTTGAAAGTTTTAGATTTACCTGAATGCCGTTTGGAATCCGAAGTGCTCAAGAAGTGTTTTACTAAAGAATACATGAAATCTTTAAAGATATAGCTGGA